TTCCATTTTTTTTTTTTTTTGGTACAGGGGATCGAACTCGGGTCCTTGAGCTTGCGCAGCAGGCGGCGAAACCACTGAACTAAAGCCCCAGCCCTCCATTTTTTGATATTAATTCCATTGCCTTCTTTCCTTTCCCCTACCCCTCCCACTTCCTCTTCCCCATTGCCCCTTTTCTTCCTATTTCAAATTATCTAACTTTTAGTTCTTATTTACACTTTCACTTTCTCACATTAGAGAAACTATTCAGTGTTTACACATGTGTGTCCTATTTATTTCACTTAAGAGTATCATTTCAATGTACATCCATTTAGCTATAAATATCTCTAATTTCTTATTTTTATGGCTGAACAGTACTCCATTTTATTTTTTAAAAACCCCACATTTTCTTTATCCTGTCCCCAGTTGATGGGCAATTGGGCTGGTTCCAAATTTTAGCTATTACAAATTGTGCTGCTATGAACATGGGTGCACATATATCACTGTGGTTTGATTCTTTTAATTCTTTGGGCAAGATACCCAGCAGGGGAATAGCTGGGTCAAATGGGACCTGTAGTCCTAGTTCTTTGAGGTATCTTCATACTGATTTCCACAGTGGTTGCATCAGTCTACACTCCCACCAGCAGTGGAGCAGGGTTCCTCTTTCCCCACAGCCCTGCCAGCAGGGCTGTTATTGGTTGATTTCATGATAGCAGCCATTCTTTCTGGGGTGAGGTTGAATCTCAGTGTTGTTTTCACTTGCATCTCTCAAATGACCAATGATGTTGAACATTTTTCATGTGTTTATTTGCTATTTCTATTTCTTTGACAAATGTCTGTTTATTTTAGATGTCCATTTTTGGATTGGGTCTTTAAATTTGGGACGTCTGATTTTTTTAAGTTCTTTATAGATTCAAGACAGTAGACCTTTGTCTGAGGAAGAGCAGGTGAAAAAATTTTCCCACATAGTGGGTTGTCTCTTCACACTGCTGGTGGTTTCTCTTGTTGCGTAGAAGATTTTTTTTTTTTTTAATAAGAAGAGATCCTACTTGTTGATCATTTGTGCTAGTTCATGGGCAACTGAGGTTTTTGTTCATAAAATCTTTTGCTACACCAATGTATTCAAGAGTTCTACGTAACCACTGTTCCAGCCAGTTCAGCATTTCTGTTTTAATATTTAGATCTGTAATCCATCTTGGTTTTAGTTTAGTGCATGGTGAGAGAGGCTGGAAAAAAAAAAGTCCTGTTCAAGCCAAAGGAGGTAGGAGTAAGGCAGGAGCCCTGGGGAAAACAACTACAGGCAGAGGAAGAAGCACTGCACTTAGAGAGGAGGGAATGTAGGGAGATTAGGGGGTAGGTAGGAGGGCGAAAGAACACACATAGTATTACCTACAAAGCTAAAACAATTTAATGCAAGATAGTTTAGGGGTTGTGAACATAGATGAGACTGGAGAAATATGAGGAGGAAACAAGGGTAGATCAAACAATGCTTTCTTCCTAAGAGTTCACAAAAAGAAGAAATCTGATTAAGTTTTGAACTGGAGTGTAACAAGATGGAATCTATGTTTGATGAAGTTCACTATGGTGGGGGCAGGAGAAGGTGGTGGTGGTGCTGCTAGTGGAGTGTATCTGTAATCCTAGTTACTTGGAGGGCTGAGGTACAAGGATAGCTTGAGCCCTAAAGTTCAAGGTTAGCCTGGTCAACATGGTGAGAGCCCAGCTTTTAAAGCAGTTCATCACTGTGTTTAGAAGATTGCAGAGAAATAAGATTAGAGATTACAAGACCAGCTAAGGGCTGCTGTGGATCTTACCTACATAATCACAATAGTAGGAACACAGTAAGATGGAGAGAAATGGGTGGATCCTAGGGATAATTTGGAGGTGGATTCCACGGATTTAGAGATGGTTTGAAGATGCCAGGGATCTTCTCAAAATGTCTGTCTTGCCACTGGAAAGATGCTGTTTGTTGAATCTTACCGGTAGTACCTGCCATAAAAGACTGAATATGTACTGTAAGATTGCTTGTTCTCGGCAACCTCTGGCCTGATACCAATAAGTACGTGGGCTATTTGTTGTGAACAGGGGTGGCAGGATTTTGGTTTGTTTTTATTCTTCCTGAGACAATCCTATTTGTTCTGTACAGAAAATGAGCTGCCCCTGCTTTACTGAATTGAAACCCCAAAATGTACCAAATGACTAGTTTTCAGTGAGGAATTCAAAAAGGAAATCAGTTCCTCATAGCTTCTAACTGAAAATGGATAATTATAATATTTTTAATACATTAGACCTTATTATTTTTGAAATTAAAAAAAATATTTTTACGGTGCCACAAAATTCTATCACTAGGAAGCCTTTTAGAGATTACTGACATAATTTTACAGATGAATTATGGAGGTTAAATTATTAGCTCAAGGTCAATTGCTTGATAGCTGACTTTTTTTTTCCTAAAGAGAATTGTTGATGTCTTGCAAAGTGTTGATTAAAAAAAGCAAGTTAGCACACATCACACCAAGACTCATACAATTGTTTTATCAAAATGCCCTGATAATTTGTGCCAAAATAAAAAAGTTGTTCTAACAGACCTGTACTAAGATATAGTTTCTGTTCTTAATCATGGCTGTTTCTAAATTCTTTTGTTAAGTGATTTATGCACATTTATCCAGTCTAATTATCTTGATTAATATTGGGGAATATGGTATTTACAATCCCAGTGTTTAACAAAGTGCTACATGATTAGCCCTTTACGAATAATTAACACTCTTGTATATAACATTTCTTCTTATTATTTCAGATTATGAACTACTAATATTTTCAAATTTTTAATTATCCATATATAAAAGATTCAGCAGAAATATCAAAGGGGTATTATAGCGCTGATACTACAGTTCAATGAGAAATTAGACCACATTTTTTATTTTTGCATCAATCACATATTTTTCTGCTCTTTGGTTTTTTGCACTTAGATATTAGATGTATATTATTTAATCACAGAACACATTTAGGAAAATTACTACATTTAGGAAGTTATTAATATAAGGAAAAAATTAAATATATTATTCTGAAAATATTCATTGATTTGACCATTTTCATGTTAAGTGTGAAAACTCTATCTAGGATTATTCAATCAAACTAGAAGCTTCTTTTCCACTCCCCAATGTAGGAGACAAATATTAAATAAGTTTTATGACTTTTAATAAGATTTGTCAGAATATTTTTGACAAATATTCTGGTAGACTATGGACCAGATCTGTTATTCCCGTGAAGAGGCAAAACTAAATTCCCTGAATCTCCTTAAAAAATGCAAGCAGTGACTAAATTTTTTTCATGTTACTTAGCAAAGATCCATGGTTCAATTCATACAAGTGCTAACATGGCAATGACGCAGATGTTACAATTACCTGACAATGATTTCGATTGTCATCAGAAAGGTCTTTCAACAAACAATCACAAACATGCTTGAACCAAATGAAAAAAAAGTTTCTGTAAAGAAATAGAGGGAGGTAAGAGAAATCAAATGATATATTTTGAACTAAAAAATACAACAGCAGAATTAGTGAAGTTGAGGATAGAACACAAATTATGGAAACATGGCTGAAGAAATGAAAGGAGTTTTCGGAATACATGGGTCTATAACAAAAGATCTATCATTGGGTCACTGGAGTCCTAGAAAAAGAGAGGAGAGTTAGGCGGAGAAAGTATTTGAAGAAACGACGGCTGAAAATTTACGAACTTTGAGAAAAGACAAACCTACACATTCAAGAAACCGAGCAAACCCCAAACTAGATAAACACAAAGATCACACCAAGATATATTCTAATCAAATGTGTGAAAACTAGAGACAAAGTCATGAAAACAGAGAGAAATGATGCACTTTTGGCATTAGGGGAAAAGGAAGGTTAAAATAAGAAGAAAAAAAAAGAAATATTAACTACTGGCAAGGATCTTAAATTCTTCATTTGTTGATTCCATCTGTTAGTCTTCCGCCTTTTTAACTGAACTTAAGCCAACACACAGAGACCATTTACTATATACATTTACAAATTCTGCTGAATACGTGGGGGATTCTTAGCAATCATGTTCTTGTAACTGCTCCACAGCAGGTATTACCTATCAAAATAAATCTAGGAATTCTAGAATTGAAAAAAAAAATCTAGAAAAGTTGGGAAAAAAAGGAATATAAGAAATTTCCATTTCAGGATTCCTGGACTTCAGCTCTGTGAATTATCTGAAATTAATCTAAAAAAATGCTAGCATATATCACTACTTTTCTAGGAAAAAATACAACAGCTTTCCTGATTCTCAAGGGAGGTGATCACTAGAAGTTTTAAGAGTTTCTGCTATTTTGAGGCAAAACGATATAATTCTTTTTTTTTCCTTTGCTACCGGGGATCTAACTCGGGTCCTTGTGCATTCGGGGCAGGTAGCAGAACCACTGAGCTAAATCCTCAGCCAAAACCATGTAATTCAACTTAGGCAAGAAATGAAGATATTTTTAGAAGACATTATTCCTATCATATCCATGAGGAATTCTTGCAGGCTTCCCAAGAACTCCCTAATGGGAAAACAGGAAAATGAGTTTTCTAATTCCAGTTAGAAACTTCTGGAAATAAACATTCAATAAAGAATGTTTGCAGTTTTTTTGTTTTTTTTGAAGATTTAAAAACCAGGTGACTGAATGACTACTGTACTGTGATTTAAAATGTACTTTTTTTAAAATATCACCTATTCCAGTGAAAAAGTTTATACTTGGGAAGAACCAATAGCCTCTCTAAATCAGTACCAGTGGGCTTGTAAGGGAGATAAAGTGATTTTACAATTTGCACCATTCCTCCCACCAAAAAAAAGCATGCAAAATCAAGCTCTATTAATTATAACTTGTAACTGCCAATTTATCTGAGTGTTACTGCTTTCTCTGATGGAAAAAAAAAAAACAGCTTTGACAAAAGCTGATCCATTAGTAACCTTATCTTTATTGAGTGTTCTTCACTCCTTATACTCTTTGCCATATCTCCCATGCAAACCAGGTCAGCTTACTCTTGGAGAAACACACTGTAAATTGGATTTTATTTGCTGCTGCTTGTTTTCTGATGAAAACTGAGGCTCTTAATGTCACCTAGAGAGCTAGAGATTTAACTTCCTATTACCAGTGAAACCATAAATCAGTCTGATTTACTAAGACTATTTTATGCTGGCTCCATCATTGGAATTCAATGAATCACTGAAAGACCCTTGTTAAACAGAATTCCAGGCTTTACCCCATTGGTATCCCAGGAGAGGGTTTTGGGAATCAAAAGTTTGTCAAGTGCCTATAATGATTTCTGAGTTCTAGTAAGTTGCAGCAGTCTTATTGAAACTGTAATAACACACAAGTTATCTTAGGCTCAACAAATTGATTCTGATCCAATTATGAGTAGGTTCTAAAGTCTGCATTTCTAACTAATCCCCAGGTAAACAATGTTGCTGGTTTGAGGGCTCTATAAGCAGCTAAGTCACAGAAGGTATATATTCATGTATTATTTGGCTGGTTTGCAAATTAGCACAGGTCATTACTCCTTCTTTCTGTTATCTGTAGATTTTCTACCAGGGCCCTTTCCTACCTCAATATTATCCACTTCTCACTGATAGTCTCTTCAAGTTAGTGATAAGGTAAGGCAACCCATACTTCTGTACTCAGATTATACAAACTGTACACAGATAAAAATTACCCAAAATAAACAGAAATAAACACCACACACTTACAACATGATTTATATTTAATATAGTACTGTACTTCTCAGTGAATATTGATTTCACTCAATATTAAAGGTATTATTACAGTAAATTATTTTTCCATTTTATTGTCAATATAAAGGGTTTTGTAAAAAAAAAATTAAATCTTTTCTTCATTCCAATATTAGATAAGTTGAATATATTCTTTTTCTAAACTTTCTCCCCCAGAGATAAAAATTTCAATTTTTGGCTGTTTGATGTCTAAGTACAATATTAACTTGCAAAATAAAATAAAAATCTGAAAACATGAAGAAAAAGACTCAACATTTCAGGAGGCAGTGATTGGAGCTAAACACTGATGATTTGGGAAATTCTGGGCAAAAGCTTCTTTAGTCCTAATTCATGTGCTCTAGTAATTCTGAAACTATGAAATATTACTTATCCATTTTAAAGCCATGTTAAATCTTTGACCTGCTTTCTAAGTAACAAACTATTGGCTGCATTTTTCAGTGCATTATTTGTTATAAAGAAAACATTTTTCCCCACTTAACAAATACTGATTTGTTTACCTTCTATCAGAAACAACCAAGAATGTGAAAAACCCTACTGACTATTTCTTGGTAACTTTAGAGACCAAAGCTCAGGTTGGGTCTCAGTAGTACAAAGGTTTTCAGGGTGGAGTTTGCATCAGGAGGCCCTTAAAAGTCATATTTGTCCATTTCTCTTTCGTGCATACACCCCTAAGCAAGCACAAATGCCTGTAATGCTGAGAACCACACCTAACAAGAGAGCAATTGCATCTCCAGCTTCTACTGCTTCAACAACAGGCAGAATCAGAAGTAGTGAAATGACCACTAAGAACAACTGTGTTGAAACTGCGGTCATGATGTCGGGATGCAGAAGGCTGAAGGTTCCTAGAAATTAAACATGGAAACAAAAAGGATCCATTAAAAATTCTTACCTTTTCGAATAACAATAAATGACAAATAACAGTCCACCCAATCTCTAAGTTTATGAATCATTTTAGATACTGTACATCTCATTTTACAGATGAAAAACCCAACCGAGAAAGTAAAAAGACAGTCATTTGAAGATAATCTCATGACAGTACCTTGGCTCCTGCAATTCAATAGGAATGCCAAGAACGTATGCATAAAACAAATTACAAAGCAGAACGGAATTAAGAACAGAAAAAAATGTACAAAATACTCGGAAATTTAAAATATCCTACGGAGTAAAAATTGTATTTTCTTAATGTCTCTCTCGTCTAGGAAATGACACAAATCTGGCTAAAGTTACACAATATATAGCCCTGTGAAGTTGTGAGTAATTAAGACTTACCAAAGAAATGATATATGTAAAATTCTATCTGACTTGAAATTCTCCCTTTCGGGATCTCCGGACGCTGAGGCTAAGAAGTGATACGTGACACCGCCTATTACAGTAGGGTGGGAAGGATTTAAAAATTACTGTTTTAAAGAGAAAACCACAGTCAGTACAGAGCGGAGAAACTGTATGGAAAAGAGGGAAATGGGTAATGTGTAGAGAAAACAGTTTGTCCAAGAAGAGGGGAACTAGATTTAAAGTTGATCAATTCTCCTACATAGAAAAACTAAAAGGAACTGAGCCGAGAAACAAGTTTATTCTAGGATCTGGTACAAAGATTTGAAAAAGAATCCCTCCTTTGGCCCAGCAAGGCGCAAATTTGCCCCGTTTTACAAATACATGGGACAATCCAAGTATCCTCAGAGCTAAATTGGTACATTACCTTCTGGGAAGCAGCCATTACAGGAATGGCGATGAGGGTGGAGTCTCCAGACTACATTTCCCAGAATCCCCACTGCCTACGACTCCCGCGATGCACCGGCGCGCTTGGCTGTAACTGGCTGAGGGTGTGAGGGTTCTGTACTTAGGAGTCTCACAGAGCCCCGCTCCCGGGGCTTCCTTACTGGAAGCTCTTTGTTGGTGTTAAATGAGTGGTGATATTGTTTATCCAAAAGCTCTGCTAAAGGTAATGATAGCACATGTTTTCTTCCCCTTCTCAGGGCTTCTACATTCACAAGGAGTTATACCTTTTTCTTTGACTGAAATGAAGACTTAACGCGGAGAGGGAAACCTAGTAGAGTCAACTATTTCTGATGCCTTTAAACCAGAGGCTTCCCACATTTCTGAAGCAGAGAAATTCCTGTCACCAGATTTCTAATGTGCCTTAGGGTATTTGTTAATTCATTGAACCAATGAGGAAAATATACACTTTAATAAAACATTTTGGAAAATAATTTAAAATATTTGTGGTGCAAAAGACAAACTTTAGCAAAAAAGATTTAAGCTACATAAGCAGAACATTTCTGAGGACTCAGGTTATAGAATTCTGAGATTCTTTTTTGCAAGAGTGCAGTGCAGTTCAGTGATTCTTTCTCCTTTTTTTTTTTGGTACTGGGGATCGAACTCGGGACCTTGTGCTTGAGAGGCAGGAGCCGGAACCACTGAGCTAAATCCCCAGCCCTCCATCTTGGTTTTATGAGATAACCTCTCCCACTCCTAGATATTCCCAAATATTTATAAAATGTCAGGTTATCATTTTTAAACCATATAATGAATTATCTAATCCTTAACTCATTCTGAAAGGTTCTTTCGAAGTTATATTTGTGAAGTCCTTACTATATCTTTCTAGTCATCTTATCTTTTGAGCTTATTCAATTTTAGGGACTTGACTATTTGACCTCTCACATTGAAAATTATGTGGCAAGTTAGTGGTAGTCTCCTGCCCTGCTTGAAAGTCTTGCAGATATTGCAGGTACATTTATTTCAATGCCCATAATCATCATGTATTCTTGTGTTGTTGGATCCTTTTTCATATACATTCTTGGTCTCTCTAGATGGCAAAGTTTTATATTCTCGGTGCCTAACATATAGTCAACAGTGCTGAGTAACATTAGCTAATAGTAATTTGATTAGATAAATATGCCAACAAGATTTTATGAAAGACTAAGAGGTGCCAAATAAACCAATGTGTCCAACAAGTTGGAAGTCTGAGGATAATTGCACAGTAATACCAATATTTCTTCTCTTAAATTTGATTATTTTAACAAGTTCTCATTAATTGCCTCATCCGTCTTGTGCTACATTTGGTTTTGTACCTTTCTAATCAACTACTTTTTTAAAAAATAGAAACAATTTTTCGTGTCTTCCAAAATATTCTCTTACATCTTAATATTAACATTTGGGAGATTTTATTTTTCTCTGTTTATTACAGTTAGCTAAAGTCTGCACACTAAAGTTAGTATTGTTAAAGACTTATTTCTAGGTTTGTCAACACTGATGGTTTGGTTTCAAGGTTGAAGAATCTATGGATAGTTAACATGCTTTTTCTTTAAATTAGGGTAGTAAGAGATCAATCAGTGATTTAGCCCATCTGTAAAAGTGTGGCAGAAGTGCTTCAGGGATGTTTTGAACCCAAATAGTATTAAAGTAAAATTGCTTAAGTTTTCCTAATCAGTACCGACCCCAGTCAGGCAATTGGACAAAGGCAGTGCTGTATGTGCTTTTGTGTGCTTCCTGACAGTCCTCATTTTCAAATCAGGTGGTATTCTACCTTTCAGTTTTCTGTCTTACCACCCTAACTAGTCATCTTAGAAAACTCCAGTCATTTATGCCTTTCCTCATGACCCTGCAATTTTATCACATTAGGCAGAAGTCCAAGCTCCTTGCCAAGACTCACAAGTCCCCGCATATTCCAGCCTCTGCCTGCCTTTGTGATGCCATCGCACCACTCCTTTCATTCCAGCCACACTCCCTATTTCTGTTGTTCCTTAAGCATGCTAATAATGCTGATTTTTTTTTCTGTGGACTTTGCCCTTGATCTTTTCTGTGCCAATAATACTTTTTCCATGGACATTGTCATGATTGCTTTTCTCAACATTGCTGAGTTCCATTCAAACCTTACTTCCTTTTCTGAGTGTCTCATTGAAAACAAAACAAACTCTTTAGTTTCCCCTCCTTTTTTTTTTTTTTTGCAAATACTGTCTACTAATAACTGAAATTACATTAAGTATTTTTATGTGTTTAGTACATAAACAAATACATTAAAATGAAAATTCCCTGAGAGGTAGGAAGTGCTACTATCTCGTTCACTAATGAATTCTCAGTTACTAGAACAGTTCCTAGCATGATCGATACTTTAGTAGATATTTTGTTATTTAAATCATGGATGAATGAAGTTAGTGTAAGATCAGAGTTTGAGCAATATGTACTCATTCATATTTTCTTCATAGTAGAAATTACTACATAAGAAAAAATTCTGCTTTTGGGCCAAACTATGAAGATATTTAGACTGAATTTATTTTGAATCTTTACTCAAAATTTCGATCTCACGTCTTTTCCATAACAATTTTTCTAGCAAGATTTTATGTCTATGTAACTATAAGAGGCAGTAACATCTAAAAAGGAATGTATTTTGTTCAGAAACATGGATATAATGTTCCCTATTTCCTACCTGAGACCCCAGAATCTTGACAACAAATGTTGATTGAGATCCCTGGGTCACTACATTAAATACTAGGGTGATCAAATTGAGAATTTAGTTTTTCAGATGAAGAAAATCTAAGCTAATACCGTCTTTCACTAAAATAGAGATCACTGGTAGTCAGTGATACTCAGAAACAACACTACTTTAATCACTTGTCTGAGAAATGAAGGGAAAAATTTCTTAACTTCCTCTAAATTAGAGGTGGTTTCAGAGAAGAAAGAAGTGGCTTCTTCTCATTTTATAACTGTTGGAAGTGAGTCAGGGCTAGATCCTGAAGGAAGGCACCCCTGGAATCCATCAGAGGAGGCAGTATAGGCTGACATCAGGCTTTTGCAGAAACTGGTGAGTGTCAAGGATTAACAAACCGCAGTCTTCCTTTTTAGCAATTGAAGCAAGCCAAGTGAATAGAGACATTTTACTGGAGCTTTAGAACTGAAAAAGGACCAACCTGGAGCTAGTCAGTATTTCCTATAAATAATAGGACATGGGCCACGGAGAGTATTATGTTAGGCTAATTAATCATTAGGCTAATAGGATAGCATAAGCCATATTTTCTGGTTTCATTCAGTTGCTAAAAAAAAATGCCAACACCTACTGAAGCTAAATAACTCTTATGCTAGTACTTTACAGTGCTTACGAGAGATGAAAAAAGTCATTTTTGGGATGAGTCTGGGCACAATCTAGAGCCCGTAGAGGGATGCGGTGCTGACTAACACCAATGAGCTTCAGTTATGTGAAAGTCAATTACACTCATAAACCTGTATCATCCAGAAAAACAGAGGAACTCTACACACAGAAATATAGTATTATATTACTTGTCTTGTGGGAGTCAGTTAGGAATGCTGTATGGGCCAAACATTATTTTAAAAAGATGTAAGATTATCTCTCTACTTAGCACTTTATCCATGGTAATGAGCTTGGCTGAACATAGACTTTGGAGGCTGTCAATGTTTGACCTAAAATTAACACCTGCTATTTATTAGTTTTATGAACTCATACATATTATCTAACTTCACTCTTTGTACATACTTATGAAAAACATTATGATACCTGGATATATGCATATAATTTTGCAATAATCATATCATAGTAATTAGCATTTCTATCTCCTAAAACATGTGTCACATATATGTGTTGACAGCCTTTGGACTCTTCTCTTGAAGTTATTTTGAAATACATAATAAATTGTTGTAAACCATAGCCACTCAGCTATTCTGTAGAATACTGGAGCTAATTCCTGCCATCTAATTGTATTTTGGCACCCATTATTCAAACTCTGTCTTTCTCCTTTCCATCTCTAGTGATCACTGTTCTATTCTTCACTTTTATGCAATCAGATTTGTTAGCTTCCAACAGGAAATAAGAGCTCCCCTTTCTCTGTATTCTCAGCAGCATTTAAAATTTTTTTTCTTTCTGATAATAGGCATTTCAAATAGGGAAAGATGAAAGTATTGACTTCTTAAAAACTTGAGTTTTCTCATCTATATTTAGGAAGTCTTCATAGGATTTACCAGTTTTCATAGGATTTCATATGGAGATTAAATGAGAGGACATGTAAAATGCCTGCGGTTAGTATCAGAGTAAAAGTTTCAGAAATTCAGGAGTAACTTTTTTTAAAAAATAAAAATAAAAGATGCTTAAAGAATGAAACTTTCAGAAACATAGGGGTATCAAATAATACATAGTAGTGGACAGGAAATTTAAAGTCAAGATTAGCTTATTTTATGGGAGCATGAACAAATTTATTATGGAAAAAATTCTTAGTAAACATGGTTTTATGCTGCATGTGGTATATAGGTTTTTAGTTACTATAATACAATACTTGAGGCAGGTTACTTTATAAAACAGAAAAGGTTGGTTTAGCACACAGGTTTGGAGATTCAAGGTTGTAGAGCTGGCATTGGCTTAGTTCTGGTGAGGAATATCTCTCTTCTTGACTGTGTCATATTGTGGCAGAGGAGCACATGTGTGAAAGAAGTTATATGGCTAAATAAGAAGTCAGAAAGAGGGATGAGTGTCCTATAATCCCTTCTGATGGCATGCCCTCTCCATGACCCAAGGATCTCCCATTAGTCCTCACCTTCCAAAGTTTCTACTACCTCCCAACTGTGCCATTCTGGGGACAAAGCCCTTAATCACAGTGGTCCCTCTGGAGATATAAACCATATCCAAATGATAGCATGGGGTAAGATTTATTGATTGACATTTATAATTTAAAACCTCTTAAAATAGTG